TGCATCGACTTCCAAATTTCAGGATTTTTATGATACAATACGCACTTTAAAAAAAAAAGTATCCTTGACCACAGATTTTCACGAATTCAAAAGCCACCCATTCAACTCAGCGTCTGATGAATATGAATCGTAACAAGACGTTTCTTTCAGCATTGAAAAGCGAGTGAAGAGACAATGGTGGGGTGGCGGATGGAATCCATGGGGAGGCGGCGGCTGGAACAGATGGGGTGGCGGAGGTTTCAGGCCTTGGGGTGGCGGATGGGGTCGTCCATTTGGTGGCGGTTTCGGTGGTGGATGGGGCAGAAGATGAATATGTGGAGCAAGTGGAACAATATTTACACTAATAAAATTCAAATGAAGCTGCAGTAAAAGTGATATCCGTGATTTCTGCAGTGCAAAATTTGGTCTAATCATTTGACAATATGAGTATCAATGATTGATGGAGTAGCGAATAGCAAAACAAACTATTTTTATGGCGTTTACTGAGATCATGCGAATAATCATAGTGGAGATCCAATGCTTCTGGCTGTGCAGGGGAATATCAGCTACGTCAGGTCCTTCTGCCCTTAATTGTATGCTTCATTTAGTATCTGCTGCATGATAGTGCCTTTTTCAAATGATACTTGAGCGGTCATTAAGAAGTACTACAGTAAAATACGAAAACCAAACATATTCTGAGCAGTCCTACGTTGATACAGCTCTTACTGAAAGCTTGAAAATCCTATTAATCTTTGGGTTCGGTTATGATAAAAATGTCTGTAAAAATTTTTTTTTTTATTTTCTACAATATTTTGGTTTATTTTTTTGAATTAACGTTTGCTTAGTTTTTCACTGTGAATAAATTTCATTAGGTTGTTTCCGCCTAACAAATACACTGAAGTGTCAAGTCAAATCTTTTTCTATGGCAAGCACTCGCGAAGGATAACAAATACCTGAAGGATAACAAATACCAACAACTACTCATGTCGATGGCTCCCTCTTTTAAGGATTACTTACACACAAGGAACCTGATGGCGATTTGATTCCTTCGCGTATGTCAGCAACGATTTACCACTGAATCGAGTGAACGAATCGTAAGACCATAACCCATTACATAACAATAATGGAACTTTCCACTATCCCATATCCGTCGAAAAAATATCAAATATTAAGTGAAAATTTAATTAAATAAAAATTAAATACAAAATATCAAGTAAAAAACTTGTTTCCCTACCACTGTTACCTTAAAAATCAAGCTTTATCAAACCTAGCCTTGTATTACTCTTTACATACTCTGCCAGTAAAAAAGAAGATGCGATAGCTTAAAACTAAAGCCAAACCACTGGCACTAAGCTAGCAAACTGACTTCACGTCACTCATTTTTTTGAATAATTCATCAGTTCACTGTAAACCAAATATTACAAAGTCCAGTGTCTATTTACTTTGTGCTACGAGTTTTCTTCCAAAAAGAGTTGACACAAACGAAACGAAGGAAGAAATCGTAGCGAAATTAGTTGTGTCACGACGAATTTCATGTTAGAATAGCCTGTTTTTAAACCAAAAAACTTTTCGAAAATTTGTTTAAAAGCGAAAAACACAGAAGAGGAATAGAAAGCTTCGAGAAAAATTTAAAAGGGAGAAAAATAACTTTGTTTCGAAAGTTCTATATTGTTTTGGTCCTCATCTCTATTTCAAAAATAGGGTCAGCGAAAAGACAATAAACCTCAAATTGCGGCCCAAATATCTCAAATTCAATTCTTAGTGCGTTTGGTTTACACGTGGACGCGCAAAATTTTTGGCAAGAAAATTACAACTGGCAAACCAGAGCAGCTAAGAGGCTCGAGTTTTAAAAGGATATAGCTGGCGGCTAAAACGCATGATCG